ACCTTTGTGAGTTGATACATGGGTTCCAGGAATTGAATACAGGTTCTCTGGAAGAGCAGCCAGTGCTCTTATTGGAGAGATAATCTGAAAGTCGTTTCTCCAGTCATTTTCTTTTATTATTATTATTATTGTTGTTGTTAGTTTTGGTTTTTTGAGACAGGGTTTCACTATGTAGCTCTGGCTGTTCTGGAATTAGCTCTGTAGATCAGGCTGGTCTCCAACTCACAGAAATGTGCTTGCTTCTGCCTCCTGAGTACTGAGATTAAAGGCATGTGCCATCATTGCCTGGCTATTATTATTATTATTATTATTGGTTTTTAAGACAGGGTGTCTCTGTGTAACAGCCATAGCTGTTTTGGAACTCACTTTGTAGATCAGGCTGGCCTTGATTTCACAAAGAACCACCTGCCTTTGCCTCACAAATGCTGTGATTAAAGGCATTATTATTGCTATTAATTTTTTCATAGTACTGTGAATTGAACCCAGGGCCTCATGCATGCCAGGCAAGTGTTCTCCCACTGCATTGTATTCTCAGCTGAGGACAAGCTAATCAAGCAGAAAATTATTTTCATTCTTCACAACATGCTAAGGTGCTCTTTCAGAATAACCTCAGTTGTTTGATCACGTGACCACCCAATCATCCACTCCAGCTATGCATTCCGCCTTCATCCTTGTCCTTCTAAACTCTCTAAATCCACCCCTCAAAAGGATAGTTTCCAAGCCAAATAGATACCACTAAGAAAAAACAATGCTGCCCTCCCTAAACGATTTTCATTAAATCAGGAATTCCTTTTCTAATATGAAAACTCAAATCTTTCTGCTGCAATTTTTATACACCTGAGTCTTTGTTAAGTGTTAGACTTTAATTTTTAAAACAAAACCTAAAATGATACAAACCAAAAATTGCTTCTGCTTAGAAGAAAATCATCTGCCTAAACAGGGCCAATCTTCTCCATTTTCAATGAAATTTGCATATGATACAATGCGTATTGTGTAATATATGCCGATATGTTACATAAAAGGATAGTGCGTGTGCTGTTCTCCTCTCTCCTATTTCCATATTTTAATATGCTAGTCATATTAAAAAGCAGAAGACTGACTCATACTATTGCAGAGTGTGCACGTAATGTTATTATCACACATCTACAGAATTCTCTGTGGTTGATATTTTCTTGTTTGCTTCAATCCTCCTAACACTGCAGCAGGGGAAGTCATATTAAACCCATTCTTCTTCTGTGGGGCTGAGACATAGAGAAGTCAAGGAACTTGTTCTGAGTCCTAATATTTAAAAATGGCCAAGCAGAGACTTGACCACCCAAATATTCCAGACAGGAGTCTAGGACTCATCTCCCCACAGCATTGTAGCACCAGCCATCTAAAGTCTCAGCTGGATTCATGAACTAGCTTACAATCCAAGAAAAGACAGTGGATCCATATTGTATCTATTCTCCTGCAGCAGCAAACGGCTATTTCCTATAATGGGAAAAAGATGACCTTATTCCATATTCATCCTATTCTGAAGTGCCAGCCTGTGATGGTGTGGTTTTGCCTCCCACAATTTGGGTTAGGGTGAGCACACAGATACACTTGGGGCCTAATGATAGAATCATAAGACTGATTTCACCAACTCCACCTACTTCTTACCTAAGCAGATTCTTCAACAAGGGCCAGAATCTGAGATGTGAACTTTTAACACAGTCTTCTTCTGTTAGACTCCCATGTCTACATTCTCAGCATCAGGACCAGTGCTCTCAAAGAATTCTAGGCCAGAGATATAAAGGACACTTGTAAGGCCAGCACTAGGGGGGCGGAGACTGGAAGATCAGGCGTTCAAGGTCATCCACTACTATACAGGAAACTCAAGACCATTCTGGGCTATAGAAGAGTCTGTCTTAAAAACAAAATAAAACAAAAAACAACATAGGACAATTTCAGAACTAAACATGTCCATGTTTTATATATGTCTAAGCATGTCATACATTGTAGGAAATCAACTTTATTTCATTTTGGGGGTTGGATCCACTCAGACAGACCCTCAGGTAAATTTCGGTAGACCAATTCTATATTCCATAGGTTACTACAGCCAGTGAAGCTATGAAGGAGAATTGGGAGCCAGGGGGATTGAACTACTAAGCTTCTCGTCTTTTCTGCCTAAATTTCAAGAGCCAGCAGGAATTTAGGAACATTGAGGGTTTTGTTTGCTTTTCTGTTTCTTTGTTTGAGACAGGCTCTCATTACACAGCCTTGGCTGGTCAGGAACTTGCTATGTAGACCAGGCCGTCCTTGAACTCACAGAGATCTCTCCTTTTTCTGTCTGCAAGTGCTGGGAGTAAAGGCCTGTGCCCCAGGCTTGGTACTTTTGGAAAGTTTTAATGTACTTGTTATCAGAAAGAAGAGGACAGCACACCACATGTAGAGAACCGAGGCTCAGACACCAATCACTGCCATTGACTGTCATTGATGTACCTTTGCCCAGCCTTTCTCCCCCCCCCTTTTTTCTGTCATTAATAACTGACTATAGGTGATGCTAACTTCAATGATTACAGGGGAAGTGTATCTTTCCAACTCCCAGACAAATACATGCAGTTTATTAAATACCTTTGGAGTTTACTTCTTTCTTTAGACCCCAAACTGGTTCCTAAACTGAGTCAAGGGATTGGGAGAGGAAGCTCTCCCTGGGATGAGGGAAAGGTAAGGAGTCAAGCAGGACATTCATGTCACACATTGGCCTAATGCAGTCTGGGATTCAGGAATGATGCCTAGTCCTCAGACTCAAGGGTCCCATCCTCCGTGGAGAACATTTTAAAATAGGAGGAAAAGTTGGAGGGCATCTACAGTGTTGCTCACACCCTACTTCCAAGTGTGAATGAAGTAGGAAGGGACCTGTCCCCTCCCACCTCAATAACCACTTTTCAAGCTTCAGTCCCTGCAGGCCACTCGTTCCTTCTCCATTCCCCTTTCCTTTGTCTGAAACACATCCCTTTGGGGAGTGAATAGTCTCTCCTTTCTCCGACCCCTCCCCTCTCATCTTTCCTGAAGAAGTTACTGTCTGGTATCTGGTCCCTACCCTGCCCCACCTGTCTGGATCTAAAGCAGAGCACAGGTGAAGAGGGCATAGCAAGACTCACAGCTGCGGGGGGGGGGGGGGGGGGGAAGGAAGGTGGTGACTCTGATGACACAGAGTAGAAAGAGGAGGAGTGACTAGAGAGGCAGACAAGGGTCACTGGTGGGGGGTGGGATGGGAGCCAGCAAGGTAGAGAAACACAAGACCACACTGGGGCCCTTGAAGAGAGGAATGCATGCCTGGCTTTTTTTTAGGATAAGGAAACCCCAGAGGTTTCAAGGGTTGCCCCCAGACTCGTCCCACCTGCTTGGGCTTCTTCCCCTGAGCACAAGTGTTTACTGAAAGCCCTCCCTGAACTCTTGCCCTCCTGGACTTGCCCTAGCTCAGGCCCCAGGCCTGTGGCCAGGCAGACACCCTGACAGGTTACAAATGAGAGTGGGTGTTGGATTCTTGTCCTCAGAGTCCGGAGGAGGAGAATCAATGGGCTCTAGCCAAGAGTATCTCTCCTAATCCCAACCTTAACCAAACAGGCAGCATAAAAAGGTGAAGTCCCCCTTCTAAGCCTTAGTTTGGAAGTCAGAGCTTCAATAGCTCTGCACCAATTCTCCCATATTTCCAAGCAAAGTAAATTCTATTTGTTCTAGAACATTCAAGGAAAATTTGAGTAGTCATTAACACTTAAGTGGCATTGGATTTATGGATTTGAGGCTTGAAAATGAAAAAAAAAACTTTAAGGGAGACTAAAGATAAAGGGGGGAGGGGGAGGAAGAGACCAGAGGAACACAGGGTCTTTACTAGTTTTAAACATTTTGGAAGAGAGAATAAAAAATCCCTTCCTTCTCATCCCCCTGTAAACATCACCTGGTTCTGCTCCTCGCTGCTCTCTGGAGAGATATAGGGAGTTATTTAAGTCTGAGTGAGTGAGCCAGCTACAGCTATGGATGGCTAGAGAGAGGATAAATACATCTAGAGAGATGAGTTGATGGATAGGTAGGGAACGAATATAAATATGGAGAGAGATGGACGAACAGAAAGATGAATTGAGACAGAGAGGATATAAAGAGAGGCTGAGGGAGAGAAATGGATGTGTGAATGAGGAGGGAGCCAGCGTTTATGCGGAGAGACTGAGAGAGGGATGGGGCGTTTCTCATCTTCCTCTTCAGGTTTCTGTAGTCCTCGATGGTCCCCTTGAAATGCCATTTTCCCACCTCTCGATTCCTAATGAATTCTTCTGGATTTTAGGGCCTGGCTCACACCCTGAGGTGTTTTTACAGCTCCCTCCCTCCCTAGTCATCCTTTTGTCCCAAGATAACACACCTCACCGGGCTGCCCTAGCCAGTCATCCCAAGACAAACTGGGAGAAAGAAACATGGAATGGGAGTTATGGGCAAAGCCAGGAGCCTGGCTCTCCCAATCTCTGGCTCTACTGCCTTGGGTGGGGGTAGGCTTCTTCGAGGGGAGAAAAGAGTGAGGGGCAGCTGGGTTGAATTTGTCCAAATCTAATAATCCAGGGACCCATTGAAGGCCTTGGGGGTTGGGAGGGGAGTAAAGTCTTGAATATTCTTCCAACTTCTCCCCCCTCTCCCTCTGGTCCCTTCTTTCCAAAAAGTCTTTGAAGAAAGATGTTTTTGACGCTTCCTTGTCGCTCTCAGATGGATGGGCTCAGAGTGATTGAAGTGTCTTTGTCATGCTAATGCTTGGGGGGTGATGGATGGGCACTGGGGCTGCCAAACTCTGGCCCGCTTAGCCCATTGGCCTGAGAGAGATCACATGTGCCCCCCCACCCCCACTCCCTATCCCCTTCCTAGGGGAGCGCTGGCCGGGGCAAGCTGGCCCAGGCCATGGACTCAAGCCTCAGAGCTGTGACATACTGCCGAAAGGTTGTAGGGCAAGAGGGTGTCTCCCCCAAACTGCTGGACCCTCCTTCGGCCTCTACATGGACTATAATAGGATGAATTCTTTTTTAGAGTACCCACTTTGTAATCGGGGACCCAGCGCGTACAGCGCCCCAACCTCCTTTCCCCCCAGTTCAGCTCCGGCGGTTGACAGCTACGCAGGGGACAGCCGCTATGGTGGAGGGCTGCCCAGCCAAGCGCACCAACAAAACTCGGGGTATCCTGTCCAGCAGCCGCCTTCATCCCTGGGGGTGTCCTTTCCCAGCTCCGCTCCCTCGGGGTACGCCCAGGCGGCCTGCAACTCCAGCTATGCGCCTTCTCAGTATTATCCTGTGGGTCAGTCGGAAGGAGATGGAGGCTATTTCCATCCATCGAGCTACGGAGCCCAGCTAGGGGCTTTGCCCGACGGCTACGGAGCGGGTGGAGTCGGCCCAGGGCCATATCCTCCGCCGCAGCCCCCTTACGGAACTGAGCAGACGGCAAACTTTGCACCAGCCTACGACCTCCTCTCTGAGGACAAGGAATCGTCTTGCTCTTCAGAACCCAGCAATCTCACCCCCCGAACCTTCGACTGGATGAAGGTCAAGAGAAACCCACCAAAGACAGGTAGGGCTCAGAGCGCTCACTTCCTCAACTTCGTGCGCAGAGGGTCCTGGGCCAGGGTTTGGTTCATCCCTTCAGCTGCTCTGGTATTGGCAGGTAAGTACTTTCAGGCCTTAGGTCAGCTGAGATTTCCCCATCGAGTTAAGTGTGGGGCCACCTCCTTAAGAAGGTCTCCACAATTTACTTCCTTGTCTGTGTGGGTGGTATGGAGCCAGTCAGTAACTTATGCTTCTGTCTGAAGGTGAGTATGGGTGGGAGATTGGTTCTAGATTTGGAAATTGCTAATGGAGGGTGTGTGCGGTGCTGCATAGGGACTTAAGTTGGGTTGAATGATACGTGAGGATACAGAGTGGACTGGGAGGAGCAGAGGGGAGGGAGAAAGAGGTGAGAGAGCTGACGTGGCCTTTCTCCCCGCCCCGCCCCTAGCGAAGGTGTCGGAGCTAGGACTGGGAGCTCCTGGCGGCCTCCGCACAAACTTCACCACGCGCCAGCTGACCGAGCTGGAGAAGGAATTTCACTTCAACAAATATCTGAGCCGTGCGCGGAGGGTGGAGATCGCGGCCACCCTGGAGCTCAATGAAACGCAGGTGAAGATATGGTTCCAGAACCGGCGCATGAAGCAGAAAAAGCGAGAGCGAGAGGGAGGCAGGGTGCCTACAGCACCTTCTTCAGGTTGCCCCAAGGAAGCATCTGGAGATGCCTCCGACCAGTCCACGTGCACCTCCCCGGAAGCCTCGCCCAGCTCCATCACCTCTTGAATTGAACTATGCCGCTTCCAGAGCTGGACCCAATCCTCTCCCAAACTTCACAGCCCTGGCGATCCTCCTCAAGGCCGAGGAACCAGTTTAAAGCTGCCTAGGAAACTGGGCAGAAGTGGGGAAACATAATTTTTTTTCTCAGATCTGGGGGTGGAGGGATGACTGACAGCTGGGGATCCTACAAGTCTTGGGAGCTGGGGAGTACACAGCCATTAAAGTGGAGGGAAGGAGCTTTGCCTTTGATCTAGAGATTGGCTCAATGTCAACACCGAGTGGGGGTAGGAGCCAGCCCATCCTGAATTCTTTCCCTTCCAGCTTAGTTCAGTGCCTTTGAGCTCAGAGGATTCTCTTTGAGAGCTCTTACCCCCAACTCTCCTTCCTAGGCCCGGATAGAGAGAATCCTTGGGATGTTCCTGAGAAGGATGTATTTGAGCGCAGGCATATAACTACCAATCTTTAACCTTAATCCTTAATCCAGCCGGCTCACTGCAGACTTTACAATAGCACTGACTGCCTTGTGACATACCAAAAAAAAAAAAAAAAAAACACACACACACACAAAAAACAAAACCCACCCCAAGCAATCCCACAAACCCTTGCCTGGCACATTTCTATTGCACTAAAGTGGCCTTCAGAGGCTGTTTTGTGAGACTTGCCCTTTCCCATTGGCAGCCCCATCACTAATTCACCAAAGTGTCTTGGAACTTGGCACTACAGAGATTTCTGAAGCATCATCGCAAGGACTGACTAAGAAAGGGTGGACAATACCCCTGCCTCTCCCCCTATTTATTGCCTCCAGAACCCTCCCATTTTCTTTTCCATAAGCCTCCCTACCCTTGGGGCAGTCTGGGCAGGTCGAGGGATGATGACTGAGTTCCCAGCAGATCCAGCATTTCTCTGAACCTTGGGGACAGCAGAGAAGCCATTGGAGTTTCTGGAAAACTAAGCCCCAAGCAAGCCAGGTTCTCGTTGTTATCTGCAGCTACCTCATTTCAATAAAGTCTCTTTCTCTCTTTCTTTCTGCTTCTGCTTCTCCATTTGGGCTGGAGGAGGCTGTGACTGGTTGGGCCAGGAAAAGTTGAGATAATGAGGACTCACAGAGCCCCAACCAAGGCAGAAGAGGGCCCCAGATAGCTAAGCAGTCTACTTGGGAGAACCCAAAAGCACAAGGTGGAAGGCAGCAGAGCCAGACAGTTCTGAGATGGTCTTGAGAGGGGGTGGGGAAGGGGAAAACAGATCTGTTTGAGATGTCTGAAAGAAGGTGGTATAAGGGGATTGTGGGGGAATGCCAGCGGGGCTCTAGCTGCTCCCTTTCTTTCTACTCCTGCCCCACCTCCCCCAGACCCTGGAAACCATAAGGAGAACCAGCTTGGGGCTATGGGATGTCGGGCAGATGCCCTTCATTCTTGTTCCCAGAGTTGGAAGATGGGCCATTGGCAAAGCCCTCACTGGCACACACATTAAGCCCTAACTCCAGCCCTTCCACACAGGACTACCAGATTGAGTGGACTGCAATTGACCAGTCTGTCATTTGCCTAAGGAAGGAGGTGGTCTTGGAAGGGATAGTGAGGGATATGGGTAAGGAGGTGCTGGTGGGGGTAGACGGTGGGGCCTGGAGATGGACAGAGGCAGCGGAGGTATACCAGGACCCTGAGCTGACCTTTTTACCTCTAAACACCTCTGGGCTTTCCAAACAAGCCTGCAGTGAGCCCAGGGGGTAACTATTATCTCCCAGCCAGTACCACTGGTAAACCTTTAGTAAGCAGAGGCAGGGGGCCTGTGCCTCTGGAAGATCTGCAGAGATGGCAATCTACAGTGGCTCCAGAGTGTCATTGAAATGACAGGGGGCTCCAGGCTCTGGGCCTAGTCTATTGATTTTGGTGACCCAGAGATCCCCTAAGCTCTAGGGCCGGGACCATACCGCTGGGGTGCAGTGATGATGAAGACAGGTCTTATCTGTCCCCTCCTTTCTCCCAGATCCTTTTAATTTGTGACCTTTGGAAGGAAGACAGGCAGCGAAAAGGACTGAGCACTTGTAAGCAATGCTAAGCATTTGTTTCCTCGTGAAATTGGTGCCATTAGGCGAGAGGCAACATTATCAATAATTGCACAGCTCAGCTGGAGAGGAAGAGAAGCGGTCAAGAGGAAGCCCGACTTTCCCAGAGGTTGTTTTCTTGCCCTGTCTTAAAAAAGAAAAAAAAATCTATTAACTGTGTTTCTCCATTTAATTGAAATTGCCATCAAGCTTGGCTTCCCCAAAGGGGTAACCTTGACAGGAGAGGCTGGAGCAAGTGTCTCTGAAACAAATTTCCTCTTGCTTGAAGCCATTTAATACCAGTTGGTTAGAGCCTCTTGGTTGGGGTATTTATGGAGCCTCCAACTATTAGCCCCTATGGATAAGTGAGCAGAAAGAGGAAGAACAGTGGTTAGAGCAAGGCTGGACTACAAGAATGGTAGAGATAAAGGAGTCTCAGACTTGGGATGACAGACCCCAGGGAAAGGGTGATCAAAGGGCCTGGAGTAAAGCAGAAGCTGGAGCCTTTGATTTTTGGTCACTGCAGAAGGAACCAACAGATTCCCCCAGGGAAGGCGTGTGTGTGTGTGTGTGTGTGTGTGTGTGTGTGTGTGTGTGTGATCAATTCTTCATTAACAAGAGGTAGACAATGGGTCAGAGACCTCCATTTCCTTAGACACAAAGATCCAGACTCCGTTACACTTTCTTGCTTGAAAGCCACTTCCAACCAGAGGCCATGGGATGAATGGGTCTACCAGAAGGTGTTTATTTGGAGAGAGAGAGAGAGAAAAAGAAAAAAACATCCTGGTATAGTCTTCCCTCACAAATGTCAAAAGAGAGTCTGGTAAGCAGAGAAGCAAAAATGCCTTTTGCTCCAATTGACTCAAATCAGTGGTTTGCATTGTCAAACTCCCCAAAATAGATGCCCTGATATTTCACTCATAGATTCCTCCACACCTCTCAGATAGGCACTCCCCCCCACCCCCATGTGCACAAATTGGAAGCGATCTATTCCCACATCTCCATTTACTAGATTAAACAAACAAACAAACAAACAACGCCTGTTTTGCAAATGAATCCCTCTCTATATAAACTTGGTTTTTCATGGGAGGGAGAATTCTTAGGGCTGGTTGGAAGTTTGTTAGTCTCTCCAAGAAGCCTAGCCCTTCTGATCTCCAGCTACCAGGCCTGTGGGCAGTGATGCGGGATCCCACCTACTCTATACCATCTGTTCTCAGCCCAAGTGTGAACTTTTCCTCTTCTCATTTGCCCCTTTCCTTAACATTTGCTCTCTCAGTGTGAGGCCCTTTGATCTCTTGGGTAAGGGAGAAAGATTTTTGAAAACCTTCAATCTCTGTTTTTGACTTGCAACCCCAGGGTTTCTTTGCTATGGACAGTAGTACCCTTGGGTGTTTGGTCAGAGTCAGGGCAGAGAAGAGGGAGTAGATGAAGAAGTTAAGAGGTGATGAAGGTCAGTCAGAATGGTTTAGAAAGAAGGATCATAGAAACTACCCACTGTAGTTGGGCAACTATCCAGGCTGCAGTGCTGAAATCTAAGCCCTGCTTCTTGACAGCATTGTGGTCTTGGGCAAGGGGTTTATTTCTTTTGTCCAGTTTCATTGTCTACTGAGCAGGGATAAAGTTAGCACCAGTCTCATAGGACTGGTGTGGCAATTAAATTAGTTAATATGTAAAATGTCTCATAAATAAAAATGAGTTAGAACAACTATTATCACTTTATAAAGGGACAAGTTTGTTTCCCTTTCCATAGTCCTAGTCTACTGCAGGAAGTATCTTGGCTATTTCACCACCCATACTTACTCTTATTTACTCCCTGGCAGGTGTATAGGACTAAAGACAGGTAGAAGAGTTTCCTTATCAGTGGCTGATAACATTTTATGTCATCTGTTTGAGGTTTCTCCTCCTTTCTCCCTTTCCCTTACTTCATCCTGACCACCTATCAAGGAGGTGAACTATCTCAGCCTCTTCTCCTCCCCTTCTACATTATGGGAAGATGGACAGAAAGCCTTAACAATCACTTGTATTGTTTTGAAGTCGGGTGCTTTAAATTCTTGATTAGAATGGCGGAGGGCAAATATCCTGAACTACAACTTAGTTTTCAACATGGTCCCCATTCTGCTGGGTGAGTTCATGCCAGTCTGCTTCCTTGGGGGGGGTCCAGTTCTTCAGGTACAATATAGAAGATGTGGAATACATACATACATACATACATACACACACACACATACACACACACATATAGTACCGTATATACACATATGTATAGTACAGTAGGATTCTGTCTGGCACAGAATTATATGTGCAGAGAGAGTTCTTGTTTTATGTGGCCACAGAAATACATTTTCTATCACTCTCTTACATCGAGTTAATTATAATATTGACATAATAGAAGCAGGCACCCTCTAGCCTTCATCCCTTATTCTGCACCAGCAGACCTTTTTGGCACTCTAGCCACAGGACTTGCTGCCAGGGAATAAAATAATTATGAATGAAAGGGTACAGAGGATTCCCACAGAATACTGTTTTATAGTAAAGGCAACATCGCAAGGAGGGATGTTCTTGACAGGACTGCTTCGCTGCATAACTCCAGAACTGGGGTTCTCTGTAGTTGTACCAACTTCCCCCCCTGGTGACTCAGCTCTGCTTCCAAGGAATTCTTTGCCCTTCCCTTGTTCGACTTACTCATGTCTCAGGGCTTCCACTTAAGCTATTTCCCTGCCTCCTCAACATGTGATACCTAACCAGTATGTCGTGGACACAACAGGAACTGGCAATGCAGAATCTTTGATTCTCGGAAAACCAGAAAGGCTCAAACAGCTACAACTCTAGTTCAAAGGCTGACTGCAAGGCTCTCATCCATTGTCATTGTCTTGGTTGGAAAAGAAATGGATCAGACCTTCCAAGAAGAAAGAATTTCAGAGGCGGTCAGGAGACCTGAGTTTGCTCTGCTGAGGGCATCATTTGT